CAGTGAGGGCAGCCCTGCAGAGCTGCAGCACCAGTGCCTTGCTGGGAGCACTGGGGTGTTCCCATGGGGGTTGTGCTCACTGAGGGTGAGCTCTCTCACCGTTGTTCCCTTGGAAAGCACAGGGATTCCTTCTATCCCCGCAGAGCTCTCCTTGTTCTGCTGGCGGTGTTTCTTTGTTTGAAATGCCACCTTGGAGTTGTGGAGATAAAATGGAACTTTTGCACCATGGGGAAATTGCTGGTTTTTCTCTTGCAGTGAAATCTGTGTTTTGCATTAAGATGTAACCTCACAGCTGCTCTGGTTTGGTATTTATTGAAATGTTTTGTAAGCACTGCTAAAGGCAGCCCAAGCTGTACCAGGAGATTTCTGGATGCACTTCTTAATCCCAGGGAGGATCCTGCACAAAAACCTGTGCCTTTCTAGCTCTGATGTGACTCTTGCAATTTATCAGCCATCTCTGGGATTTTGTTTTGGAAAGTGAATGGTTTCAGCTATGTTGGAATTGATCAAGAATAGTATTATTTTTTTCAGACTTGAAACTGTGAATAAATGAGAGGATATTTTTAAATAAAAATTTATTTATTAAATATAAACACATCAGTCTGCCTTGTTTTTCTTGGTTGTGACCCTCTTCAGAGCAGCAATTAAAACAGAATTAAAGCTATTTGAAAGACAAATTTTTAATATTTTTGAAAAAAATCCAAATTCCAGTCAAACACTGAGTGGCATCTTACCTCAGCATGTGCGGACTCTGGTGTTTTTTGCTATTATGTGTTATTTAAAGATAAATTATCCAGAATATAACATCTGATGTTCTTCAAATAAATGTGGTTCTTTATTGCATAATAACAGTATAAACCACTTTTCAGAAAGGTAGGAATGGGTTTTACATGCGTTTATATGGAATTAGATGAGCTTTTTAAGGTTCCTTCCAACCCAAACCAGCCTGGGATCTTCCAGCAGTTTGCATTCTCCTGAGATCCCATTTCATCCTGAGACAGGGCAGTGTTTGATAAGCCCAGTGCTGACCCCACACTCTGGAATTTCTCAGGTTACAGGAACAGATTTGGCTTCCCTCTTGTTCCAGCTGTGGAGCCTCTCTTGGATGGAAATTCAGGCCCCATCCTCAGACTTCACCTGAACTGTGCAGCAAATGAGGGTTTCTCTGTTATTGCAGGAACCTCAGCACTGCTAACAGCACAAATGACTTTCAGGAGGATTATAACTGAGTATATTATGATTCAAATCTCCTGTGAAGCCCTTGGCATTAGCTGGAGGGAGCGTTAGTGCTAAATAGGATTATTTTTCCCTTTCCAGAGATAAACAATTAAAGCATAAACCACATCCAGAACAGACAACTCTAACACCGTTATTAACTCTGATAAGCCAGTTTATTTCCCTGTTAATAAATCCTTCATTACAGGAACAGAAACCAAAGGCTAATTCTGAACACCCTGGCTGGGTAACAAGGGCCAACAGCTGACCTGAACTGCCAGCAGCCCCACACAGAGCAACTTCACAGCAAGAATTCTCCTGTTGCACAAAGAATCTCTCACATTTTTATACAAATAGTTGAAAACAGGTAGAACAACAAGCAAACAAGTTTACAAAAGAAAATACTTCACCGGTTTTTCCTACAGAAGATGTGCAAGTAAAACTGATCATACAGAGAAATCCAACCTGAGCTGTGTGCTGGGGGATACCTGAGGTGAGCTCTGGGGCTGATTGCAGTTTCTCAGTATTCACAGCTGCTTTTCAAGGATAAAATATTCACAGTGCACACAGGAGGAAAGGGAAGAGCTGAATGTTTTCAGGATGCTGGACAGATCCCAGATTTCTTAAGATATTCCAGTGCAACCTTCTCACAGCCATCCCTGACCAGGACAGCGCTTCATAATCCCAACCACCACGGGTGTGAAGGCTGGAAAAGCCCAGCTGGGCTGTCAGAGGGCAGGGCTGTGTGGCTGCAGGGCTGTGTGCAGGGCAGCAGCCAGCTCCTGGGCCGAGGGGCTCCCAGCAGTGCAGCTCACGGCCACGCCGGCGTCTCGCAGCGCCTTCGCCGTGCTGGGGCCGATGGCAGCGAACTGCAGGGACAGCACTGTCAGGGCTCAGCTCTCCAGGCATTTGCAGCATGAACAGGTGTTGTGGGGTGTTGCAATGTCCTGTTTTACCTTCTCCCTTCCCCCTCGCCCCTCGCTGAGTGTGCCCTGTCAATCAGGCTAACATACCAGCAAGGCGTTGTGTGATTGGTCCTTCAGGCCTGGGAGACATTGGCCCGTATAGGTGTCCCCAGTCCCTTGAGACCCCGCCCCTTCACCTGGTTGGTGGCTCACCTGTCCCCTCCCCTTCCCCTGCCCTGAGCTTAAAATGTTAATGAGACCATGTGGCCTGGATTCTGTTGGAGGAATTGTCCCAGTGCAGACCTCTGCACCCATGGAATAAACATCTGGATATAACCCTCTGGCAGAATCCACTCCTTCCTTCTCTTCACCATCGCCAGAAAAGCTCTCTCCTGAGGTAAACGGAGTCCTGACAAGCCTGAACTTGCGTCTGTGCCCCGCTGCACTCTCAGCCAAGGTATCTCTGGGGTAAAGCACCACAGTGCTGCCTTTGGCCCAGCAGCGAGGGTCAGAACTGGCCCAGGCACCATCTAACTGGTTATATTGGGATTCATATTCCAATAAACAGGCACCCATCAGTGGAGCTGCTCAGCAGTGACTCAGGGAGGTGAGTATTTATCTCACCATTACAAACACCGAAAGCTCCCAGTCCCACAGAACAGGGAAAGTGAGAGGAATTTCGATCGGCTGCAGCCTGGTGCAAGCAACAACTCCTCACACCATGGCATCGCTCAGGGAAAATGAAGTCTATCCCAGTGGAGATGGGGGAATTGGTTGGGGAAAGCAATTTTGTTTTTAAAATCCACCCAAGGCCAGGTTGGATGGGGTTGGAGCAACCTGGTGTAGTGGAAGGTGTCCCTGCCTGTTGAAGTGGAGGGAGAGACCCATCTTCCTTGATCAGCACTGACTCCCTTTATTCACTCAATCAGTCACTTTTTATAACCGTGTTAATTAAGTTCATGCATATTGCAAACCCGAGCTCACAATAGGTCAGAGATAACCCACCAACCCCTCCTTTTGTTTCCAATACCAAGATTTGTGTTCTCAAAACTTACTTTTACTTTCCCAAAACAGCCAAAGATAGAATATCTACTTGTTATGAGAAAACTGCCTGAGAACTCTGGTATGCAAGGTTCTCAAGGCCTTCATGTTTGTCACTTTTACTTGTAATTAAAAACAACCTGAGAACTTCTACTGTTTACAGAAACAGGCTGTGAGAATTTACTCCTCACAGCTGCCTTTAAGCCATTTCTGAAAAAATCTCCAACACCTGCCTACATGCAACAAGATGGGTTTTTAAAGTCCCTTCCAACCCCCTTCTGGAATTCTATAAATCTATATAATATCATTTGTATTTGCTATAAACTGGGGTTTTCTTCAGAGAAATAAACACAAACCAAAGATAAGGTTCGCAGTGTTTGCTACAGCCTTTCTATCTCATTTGCCCACCCCAAATTTACTGCCTCTCATATTCCACCATTTGTAAGAGAAGATACCTTGACTTGGTTGATCAAATCCCCTGAAAGCTTCTGGATGTGCTGGAGGCAGAATTTGACACCAGAGGGGCTGAAGAACGCGATGCTGGCAGGGATGCCCTGGGTGAAAGAAGCAGAGGTTGGCACAGCTCACTCAGCACTGCCTTGGCACATGGGCACAGCACACAGGGAATGGCTCTAACCCACAGGGCAGGGATGGATGGGATTTTGGGAATTAGGAATTGTGCCCACAGCAGCTGTGGCTGCCCCTGGATCCCTGGCAGTGCCCCAGGCCAGGTTGGACAAGTTTGGAGCACCTGGGACAGTGGGAGGTGTCCCTGCCATGGCAGGGGTGGCACTGGGTGAGCTTTAAGTTCCCTTCCCACCCAAACCATTCCATGATTCTGTAATTCTATGATGGAGGATCCTAACATGGAAAACCAGAAAGCCAATACTGAAAAATGAAAAGCAGTGATTATTGTTACACAAACTACATAGGGCAGATTACTCCTGGATTCTGATTTGTGATTACTCCTGGATTCTGATTTGTGATTACTCCTGGATTCTGATTTGTGATGCACAGCAAAGATGCCCAGTGATATTGCAGTTACACTGCTTCAAAAACAGGAATATTCTGGGAGGCATTGCCACCTCCCCCAGAAAATCCCAAAGTACCCCAGTGTCCAGTACCTGCTGGGAGAAGTAACTGCTCAAAGACTCCTGCAGATCAGGGTGCTGGGCTGTTTGATAAACTGTGAGGCCTTCCAGGGGTATGCCTGCAATCAGGACATTAATTAATTCATTCATTAATTTCTATTATTTCAGTTCAGCACTCACAACATCCTACCTGCACTGAAGTGTAACTATTTAAGCTAAAAAGACACATGAAAGCTCTGTGGAGGATTTGCAGGTCCCAGAGCTGTGGGCAGCCAGCCAAGCTCCCAGTGTTTATTCCTGTCCTCTCCTCAGCAAGTTCCACTTTTCCTTCTTCCAATTTGGTTCACAAGCTTCAGATACAACTTTTCTCATCACTGACTAATTAAAATGGGTCTCCAGGGGAAGTTCAACCTTTTTCTCTAAGCACTGTAGGAAGTACTTCTCTTCTCAGGGCTCCACAAGGAAACAGGAGAGCTGAGGAATTGGGTTTCTCTCCTGTAAACACACAAACAAGAACTTTAATTAACTCAGGCCTTTAATAAAGAGTAAATGTGATTTAATACATTTTAAAGGCATCAAATGCTGATTTATCAAATGCCTCACCACAGACACAGCTCGGAGGTAACTGGAAACATCTGCAGCCCCAATTCACAGGACAGGCTACTTAGCAGGAACATTAAAAATATTCCAGAACTAGAATATGAATATTGGCTAAAATGATAACTTTCTTTGCACAAGGGCAAGGGGAACAGAAATGCACTTTATCTCCTCCTCAGCACAACCTGCCTCAATTGGATATTTCAAATCTGTCCCACTCAATAAATGACAGAGCTCTCCATAAAAGAATATTCAGGCAGACAAAGAAAGGACAATACTGTGCTGGAAAGTTTTGGTCTATCTGCAATTCCATTTTCTTAATTCCCCAGGGAAAAAGGATTCTGGCTGCAGTGCTGGGGTGGGAGTGGATATCCTCACTTGCTTTTGTCAAATTAGGAATTTAACAGCAGACTTGCTTTGCACAGCTTTTGCCTTTTCTATAGATAAGAAACATAGAGAAAATGTCAATCTTAAAATCTACAGATTGATACAGTTTTGCATTCAGCTTTCCAAAGAAATGAAATTATTTTATTACTAATTCAGATTTGTTACTACATTTTATAGAGACAAGGAAGGAGTTTTATAGTTTCCAGCACTATTTTATAATGCTGGAAGGAGATTGTTGGTTTATGCAGACATTCTTCAGGGATTAAACAAAGGGTGAAAATCAAAGACCCCTGTAGGAGTCAACCCAGACACACCTGAGTGTGCTGACTGCACACTGAGGTCTCTTTAGAAACCAGATATTCTTAAATTAAAATTAAAAATTAAAGGAAGAATGAGCTTGGCTCAGAATGTAAAAAAGATTTTAAAATTAGATGAAATTGGAATGTTGCAGCATCAATTCTCCTGCAAGGCATGGCAGTTACTTGAAGGGTCAGTGTGATCCTGTAAGCAAACACCAATTCTTTTGGTACAGAAAAACTCCTTGGCAGGCCTGAACCACAACAAGGACTGGGATCTCCTGCTTCTGTAGCCAAATATTTGCCCTGAGAAGAGTAAATTCCTTCATTTCCCATTTCTTACACTGAATTGGGTACAAGAGCACAAAAGGTGGTGACAAAATAATCTCATTATTTCAGCTTTTATTTTTATTCTGGCAATAACCTCTCATGATACAGGAAATTCAGAGCTATTCTTTCCATTTACTTCTTCATGCACAAACAGAAATGAATTTCTACATAACAGGGAACATGAGATAATTTAATCTGTACTTCCAAGGTTGTTCTAAAGCTCTTGAGCAGCTGAGAGCATTTAAATATGCAGAGCCCAATAAATTCTGCAGGATGTTTCTATGTCTCAACCACAAACAGGCTCCAGTGACTGAAATTCACTGCTTGGGTAATTTTTTTTCACCTTCCTACAACACAATAAACAGATATTTCTCTTGTCTTTCTGCTTGAAAAAGCCCTGGGAAGTATTAATTCATTGCCACAAGTAGATTTTGCAGCACTAAAAATCAGCTGAACCCTTTCTTTGCTTTAATACATTTGCTATTAGAAGAGAGGAGATGGGTTATTCTTCACTCATGTTGCATTTTTAATTTTCAGAATTTATGATTTGATCTTGTGCTGGCAACTCCCATTTTTATCATTAAATATTCCCCAGAGCTGAAGTATTTTATGTGCCAGTGAATTAGAGAGCACTGTGCCCAGCAAAACCAATCCTTTGCAGCTCCCATCCCATTTTTCTTTTCCCTTTAAATCTCTGCTGCTGGGCAGACTTTGCTCAGCAGTCTCACATCTGTACAAAAACTCTTTTTTCACTGCTCCTACTGAGCCACCCACTCAAAAAACAAACAGCTCCTAAGTCTAAAAATCTTCCTCATTGCTACTGGAAATTTTAACAACTTAGAGTAAAAACAGAAGTCAGCAAACAGACTTTTAAAATTCCCCAATAATCTGATAATAGGCTAAGGGTTACAGATTTAACCATAACAAAATGGTTAAACAAAACTTAAAGCATCAATTTAATTTCTTCAAAACCACTCAGTTTTGGTGCTGAAAACCAGATCTCTCTGAAATCACAGAGTAATTTTGGGGAAAGTCACCAGCAATTAAATCTTCTGATTTAGCAGCAATTTCCAGTCATTACAGCTCTGATCTTCCAGTAAAAATAAACTTTTTCCTGCTGGCTCATACAGTATTTATTAATTGACTAGAGGGTCTAAATTACATGTAAATTAATATCTTGTATTATGTATTTTGAAGTATTTTTGCCTCACTGTGCACTTGATTTTGCCTTAAGGAAATTCTGAAATGATGGAAGGGACCTTAATTTATTTAGGATTATTTTAATTTAACTCCACTTACTTGAACAAATATATTCAGCTAATTTCTCAGCATTTCCAGCCATTTCTCCTTGTGGAACAAGACCAATTTCTTCCACTAGAACCAAAAGCAGCAAAGGAAAAACCATGAAAAACAATGAGAACATTTCAGATTTCCTGCAGAACCAGAAGCAGCAAATAAAAAACCCATGGCAAACAATGAGAACAATTCAGATTTCCTGCAGAACCAAAAGCAGCAAATAAAAAAACCATGGCAAACAATGAGAACAATTCAGATTTCCTGCCACAGAACCCTGGGATGGAAAGGGAGGCACACAAATAATTTGTGTACAAATAAATTCTGCCAGGTTAGAATCCCTTCCATCCAATTTCAATTCCAAAAGTAATGACAAAACCACGTTCAAATTAAGAACAAAGGGGTTTTTTCCTGTTTTGACCCAATTTTTCAAGCAGGGGCCATCAGATTGCAACAGAAGGAGCAGAAATCCAGAGGCTGGATCAGATCCATGGATATCCTTGGATAATTCCAATTTTTACATAATTACCTCTCTTCCAAATTAACGAGTTTAAAACTTCAATTTCTTTCTCAGCACCACTGAAAAGCAGCTCTTCCTCCAAAAATTGTACTTACAAATCAGATTTAGCCAATTTTTCTTTTTTGAAACCCCAGCTTACCTAAAGAAGCTGTAGCTTTTCCTACCACATATGTTGGTTTGATGCTCCACATTTGTTTAAGAGATTTTGACCAGGCTGAAAAACATGAAATTATACTAAATTAAATGAAATTTAAGCACGTGGCAACAGAATGTGGATGATAAATGACTATTTGGGCTTCTGTTTAATCCACAAATGCAGCAAAATTATAATAATAGCTGAAATTCCACTACACATTCAGCAAATCTGGATGTACAAATCCTACAGGATCAAAAACAGATACCCCAAGTTTTTTATTGTCTTGTTTTAACCAGAGCAGCACAGGACACTGAGTCTTGTCTGGGACTACTGGGGTGAAAAAAGAAACACAAACTACAACAGTAAAAATAAAAATCAGAAGTAAAACCCCAAAGATTTATTGCCTTTGAGAGGAACCCAAATAGGAACTACAGACTCGTTTTTATTATTAAAATATTTATTTTCCAAAAGTCCTAATCAAGGTTGGGGATGGAATTTAGAGATTACTTTTGACCTAAAATCTTAATATATTGTTCTCTGCTGCTACAAATGCTACAAAAGCTGAGGGTCTCAGTGCATTTACTGCTTACTCAAGGGTGTAACCTTACTCACAGGACATTGAGTTGTCCACAGCCCAGAAATGGAGCAGGTAAAGTAGAAACTCCAAGCCAGAATCACCCAAGATAAGGATTTGGAAGGGTTCAGAAGGATTTGAATGGGTATTTCTATTTAGCAGGATTCCTCCTCACTCCTCCTCTCCTGCCTTCCATGCCTCAGCACTTCTTCACCATTGTTTTAGCTAATAATTCATTCACTTGAGAAATTTCTTATTCAAGATAGAGAATTCCCTTTTTTCTGCAGCATTTCATAGGAATTATACAGGCACAGAAGTGATGGCCAGTTTTTGTGAGATGATCTCTTTAAGAAGGAAAGCAGTCAGCAGGCAAACCAGGCACTGCAGATAAAATATTCCTTCTGCAAGGGAGAGCCAGAGCTGGCAAAGCTCTCATTAATTGGTAATTTACACCAAAAGCTCCTTCCCTTCATTTCTCAGTGTGGAAAACACAACCCTGAAAAGCTCAGTGCAGCATAAACCCTTTATGATTCTAAAAGAATTATGAAATTCAGGTTTTTTTTTAAAAAAAAATCATGCTCCAAATATCTACTGGTGGGTGAAATAAAATTCATTAAAGTCCAAACTTTACAAGATGTTGTAAGGAAAAGACCAAGGAATATCAATATGTACTTACCCTCTTTTTTACTCTTCTCTTTTAAACATATCTTGATGGCTTCTAATGCTCTTGGGCTGGTAAAAACCAGGCCTCCATAGCACTCTGGATGGGAAAGCTATTTAGAAACAGTAAATTCAAGAAGCAAAAAAAAATTAATTATAAATTAATTTTAAAAAATCAGCCGATCAATTATTTATAACCTTGTGGCAACCAGAACAGCTTCAATAACTGCCAGAAATGCCCCAACACTTGTGACAATTCACAATTTAAATGTGGATTCTGTCTGACCAATTTAATTCTTTAACAAGCAAGGGCAAGCTCCTTGATGCTGTACATGAAATTTACTGTACAACCAGAGAATTATTTGTACCACACAGAGAATGGTTAAATGGGATCCTGGCAACCAAATCCTGTTGGAAATAAAACAACTGAAAGAATTTCAAACTTACCTTCTCAAATAAGCTGTCAAGAGAGGTGAATTCAAATGACAAAGCTGGGATCAACGTTGCTTCCAAGCTGTACGATCCTAATTCCTATCAAGAAAAGGTTTGCAGATCTTGAAATAAATTCCAAACAGCATTTTTGCTTTTTCAAAGAGCTGGCTAAGTCAGCACAAGCATTTCTCTTTGCTAAAGCAAAATAAAAAGGCATTTTATTTCTTTTCCCTGGTAAATCTAGTTTGAATTTGTTAGTTATTTATTATTACAAGATTTAATTAAAGAATCAGCTGTGGGAGCTCCTGAGGTACAGGAGACACCAGCACAAAACTCTGCAGCCCCCAAGTCCTGCAAATATCCCTGTGCATTTCTGTAATTCTGTCAGTAGGTTTCTTCTGAAGAAATAATCCTCCTTTATCAGGAACTCCTCCTCTTATCAGTGAGATTCACTCACAGGACCAAGGGCAGGAGCAGAAGGGACCCCAGCAACAGGTAACCTCCATTTCACATCCCATAAAAACACAAAGAATGTCTGTAATCTTTATTCTGTCCAAATGAACATAATCAATACTAATTAATGCAAATGAGGCTAGTTTAATATCAGTACTTTGCTGAGAGCTTTACAATGAACTCAGTACAAATGTCCCATAATTAATACAATTTTTTGCAGGAAGGGCTATTTTCCAAGATACTTTTTCTCTCAGCATAATTTCAGAAAGACACTCCTAATTTTTATTATGTTTGACTTGAAACAATTGCATTCGTATTTAATAAAGAAGTGACACTTTTTTTTAAATTTTCTCAGCGTTTACTCACTTCAATATAAGGATCTGGTCCTGAATCTTTGTCTTTGGGATCCTTCAGCAGCAGAACCTTCATTGTTCACCAAGGAGGCACAGCACAACCCTGAAATACAAGAATGGAATTTATCTTAATTATATCTAATTTCTGGAGGAGTTTTGGACTTTAACAGTGACTTTAGCAGCTCCAAGGAGTGGGTTGCTCGCAGTTGCACTGCTCTTACACAAGGAGTAAACAGTTATTTGTGCATTCTCCAGGCAGGAACACCCACCCTGATAAGGACAAAAAAGAATATGCTGCCTTTAGATAACACTGCTCAAAGGAGAGGCTCTGCTAAACTCATCAAGGGGAACACATTTGAAAGGATATTTTGTAAAAGCAGTAGCAGGTCCTACAATGCCACCACGTTCTGCAATTGAATCAGCTCCTAGCTACAAAAAGATTATTTATTCTGTTAATTTCCATGCAGCCTCTGCTCAGCAAAATGAGTATGCAAAGATTGATTTTATTTAATATATGTGTGTCTATATGCACACATTTGTACATCTATAATGATCTTGATAATTTTCATATGTCTTCTCTGATAGTCTAGGAAACAAGGGAGGACTGAAAACAAACTTTGTGCTAAACTCAAAGTCACAAAACATAAGCAAATACACCAATAACACAAACAGAAATCCACCCTCTAAGTGCATATTTAACCCAATTACCAGCGTGGTATTTTCCTGACAGATCACACACATGGGAAAATTCATCCTCCTCTAAATTCTTTCCCTGGATATCAGTATTAGAATTTTGGCGATGAGCAAACACAGCTTTAAAAAAACAAAACGAAATAACAAAACCAGAAAAACAAACAAACAAAACCCCCAAACCAAAACAAAATAAAAACCCCCACAGATGTGTTTGAGGCTTTAAAGGGAAGATGAAAATTCGAGCCTATTTGAAGCACCTTTATAAAGCTGGAATTACATCCCAGGGCTTTGTGCTTTGTATTTCTCCTGGCTGGCAACAGCGAGTGCCCAATGCTCTTCTTCCCACGGCCTCATTAACAGCTCGTTTCTTCATTAATTAGACACAAAGCGTTCAATGGAACACGTAGCATGTAACTTGATCATTAATGAGCATTCTTTCCGTGTTTAGGGCATTTGAACGCGTTTTCCCGACTGGCATTTTCATAAAGGCCAGAATCACGTTGTGCTTACTGCGCTGTCCCTGTCACCGTTCTCTGTGATTTGTCTGGAATTATCCAGGGACTTTGGGTCGGGGGAAGCCGGGACACGATTTCTGGAGTAGGCAGATTCCTGCTTTAATCGGCAATTTTTACTAACGCTGGTTGTTACTTACAGTAATTTTTGCTACTGTCGGAGATGCTCAGACACTTTTAAAGCACAGGATCCCTGAGGCTGGGGAAGCCTCCAGGGTCACGGAGCCCGAGCAGAGCCCGATCCCCGCCGCGTCCCCAGCCCTGGAGCCACCTCCAGCTCTTCCTGCAGGGACGGGGACCCCAAACCGCCCTGGGCAGGCGGATTTACCCCCTGACAGCCATTCCTGTAAGGAATTCCCTTCGCAAGGAAGTGACACCACAGCACCGAGAGGAAATCCGGGTTCACGGGGACAGAGGCGGGCCGGGCTTCCCCCTTCAGGCTCCGCGGCTGCTCCGCGCTC